TTTTTAACTGATTTTTAAAGTTGGATTGGCCTAAAAATAGGCCACCCAACGCGCGAAGGGTTAACTAATATTATATTTATCTGTTAGAATATTCGCTATTGTGCATTAACCTTGTAAGTCACACAGCTAGATTTTGATTAAATACCTTGTTTCGAAAGTGTAAACTTAGTGCGTTATTCTGGAAATAGAAAATATGTCTTGTTTTATATCGTGTTGGTCACATTATAAAATGATAAAACATTGATTAAAGTATTCTAGAACATACCAAATGAATAAATGAGTTTGATAATTTATTTTCATAGATTATTATTATTTTGTTTTATTGCTCCTAGTATATTTTGCTCCAGACTAACTAAAGTGTTTTATTATGATAGAACTATCTTTTATTTTATTTTAAAAATAAATGTTGCTATAATTAATACTGTAGTTTATTAAAAGTGCTCACTTAATTAATTTATTATAAACAAAATTATTTAAATACACAATAATTAGTCAAATTGAATAATCCAAACAACCTGCTTGTTATCGTTTAATTCGGAGCATGTCCATACAATTTTGGTCAAACGTTATAAAATTAATATAATTTTTACGCCGTAAATAAGTTAAATGTTACATTAATAATTTAAAATACTAAATGTTTGATTTCAAAGTATTTTTTCAAAACTTTTAATAGTTGTAATGTACCATCGTTGTGTTGATTGTTTACTGTCTATCACAATATAATTTGTGTTTAATTATTTGACATTTAATGATGCCAAATTATATAGTTGGTAATTTTTTATACGTATCATGATGTGTGCAGCATACGTAAACTTTTAATTTTATTAGAGCGAATAACATTGATTGTCAAATTGTGTGATTGTTTAATATTGCTATTTATATTATATGTAAAATAATAGCGTTGTATGCGATGAAACATTTGGGCGCAAAAATCTGGAAACGCTAACACATTAAACCCAAACCATAGGCCAAATATACTGGCCACCATAGCTAGATATTCTTCCATGGGCATTTTTAGATACATATCGTATACAATAGGAAGTTGTACAGAGTATTCCAAATATAAATAAGTTGAATTATCATCATCCTTTTTACGTTCAAATTGAGAGCTTATAGTCAAGTGATAATAGTGTCGCAGGCATTCAACGGTACGATTACATTCAATTTGACATTTTTTACCATATTTATCTAAATAGTTTTTATTCCCAGTATTGGTGGCAAATTTATAACTATCGTTAACAGTAAAATGAGTCAAATAATTTCCATTAAGTTTGTTATTATGTTTCAATTGAAATTCCCTTATATTGCATGCGTTAATACATTCCCTGTGTGTAATATTTACAGAGCATGGCATATGTGTGAGGTGTTGGCGGTTAACAATTACCTCGTTATATTTGATATAAAAAATATTATACTTTTGTATGCCTAGATATATTGAACCCATTTCATTCGCATTGTAGAGATGTTCGCTGGCAGAATGAACATTCAACAATACAAGGGTATTGTTAGTGACTAGCTTACTAGAGATATTTACCATAAAGGCAAACTTTGGTGACTCCACTCGCGTTAGATTCCTATTTGTCATATACCGGGTGTCCGAGTCGTGCGACCATTGAGTGAATAACGATATGCAATAAAACCACTCATTAATAGAATAGCGATAGGGGGCAAAGTCGCTGCAATTTGGCCATGGTGTGTTAGATTTTCTATATATGCTTAGTTGACATTCAATGTGATTCTCGTTGTGTTTCATAATATTAATTTGTCTGTCGAGTGGTAATTGATCAAACGTTGTGTAATTCTTTAAGGTATAATTTTCTCTGATATCGGTCATTGATAAATAGCTTTTATTGAAACATAATGTAATGCCAGGCATTGATACCTGCATTCGCTGTCCATATATGACATTAGTTGTGGTTTCGTATGAAAAGTATAATAAACTTATTTTATACGTTTGATACATACATCCCATCAAACAAAGCAAACGCATCGCTATTTTCAAGCAAATGTTAAATACTTTCTTCATTATTTAATTTTGTATAAATGTATTAATTATTAAAATTTAAATAAGTTACTAATTTTTGTTGTAGTATTTTAATAGTAGTTTTCCAAAAATGATGTATAAAAGGGACATACATTGTGTAAATCTAAATAATGTATTTAGTATTTACTTTTAACATGTATGTTTTCTAAAATTAGAAATTATTTGAAACCTCTGACATTTATCAAATAAACAATTTTATATAAAACAATTTATTTATTTAGTTAATCAACAGAAAATACTTCAGCTGATCAATAGTAAGAGTAAAAACTTTACTATTAATAACAAATATTTATTTACTTAATTAATTAAATTGTATCCTAATTGAATAAAGATTATTATTAATAAATATTAAATATTTTATTTATCATTGTTAACATCAATTTTACATAAAACAATTTATTTATTTAATAAACAAACTAAATAATTTAACTTATCAATAGTAATAATAACAAAATTTGAATAATAATTATTATTAAGATTAATGATATATCTCAGGCTGATTGACCACCAAAAAATGGCCAGATATTAGACGGCAGCTTCGTAAAATAAATTGTATTTTAATTATCATGTGAGATATAAAAATAGCATGGTTAAACGCTTTAAATTTATTGCATAAAATAAAACAATTTATTATAACAGAGCCATTAATTATTGTATTTAATTATTAAAATAAATGTTGCTATTAATAATATTGTTAATTATTAAAAATTTTCAAAACTAATTTTTGAAAAATTAAAAATTTTAATCATTGAGTCTGTTCTATTATCGCGATACTAGAACCAAAAATGGTATTGCTAGTTTTATAAATTTTATACGTATCATGATGAGTGCAACATACGTAAACGGTGTATTTTATTAGAGCGAATAACATTGATTGTCAAATTGTTTGATTGTTTAATACTGCTATTTATATAATATGTAAAATAATAGCGTTGTATGCGATGAAACATTTCGGCGCAAAAATCTGGAAACGCTAACACATTAAACCCAAACCATAGGCCAAATATATTGGCCATCAGAGCTAGATATTCTTCCATTGGCATTTTCAGATACATGTCGTATACAATAGGAAAATGTACAGGGTATTCCAAATATAAATGAGATGAATTATCATCATTCTTTTTACGTTCAATTTTAGATTTTATGGTCACATGATAATAGTGTCGCAGACATTTAACGGTACGATTACATTCAATTTGGCACTTTTTACCATATTTATCTAAATAATTTTTATTACCAGTATTGGTGGCAAACTTATAACTATCGTTTACAGTAAAATAATTCAAATAATTTTCATTAAGATCGTTATTATGTTTCGATCGAAATTCCTTTATATTGCATGCGTTGATACATTCCCTGTGTGTGATATTCGCAGAGCATGGCATATGTGTGAGGTGTTGGCGGTTAACAATTACCTCGTTATATCTGATTAGAAATGTCTTGTAATTCTGTAAGGCTAGATATAGTGAACCCATTTCCTGTGACTTGTAGAGGTTTTCGCTGGCAGAATGAACATTAAACAATACATGGTTATTGTTAATGACTAGCTTACTAAAAATATCCAACTTAAAGACAAACTTAGGTGACTCCACTCGAGTTAGATTCCTATTTGTCATATACAGGGTGTCCGACTTGTAAGACCATTGAGTGAATAACGATATGCAATAATACCACTGATCAATAGAATAGCGATAGGGGGCGAAATCGTTGCAATTTGACCATGATGTGTTATAGCGATTATTTCTATACATGTATAGTTTACATTTAATGAGATTCTCTATGGGTTTCATAATATCAATTTGTTTACTAAGTGGTAAATGATTAAGCTTTGTGTAATTCTTTAAGATATAATTTTGCTGAATATGGATTTTCAGTAAATAGTCTTTCCTGAAACATATTGTAATTCCAGGCATTGATAACTGCATTCGCTGTCCGTATATGACATTAGTTTATTGTTTAATAACAAAATATTTATTTACTTAATTAATTAAATTGTATCCTAATTGAATAAAGATTATTATTAATAAATATTAAATATTTTATTTATCATTGTTAACATCAATTTTACATTGTATAATAAACTTATTTTATACGTTTGATACACACATCCCATCAAACATAGCACCGGAATCGCTATTTTATAACATATTTTAAATATTTTCTTCATTATTAAATTTTTTAAAATTAATTATTAATTTAATTTGAAATAAGTTATTAATTTTTAGTTACAATATTTCTTATTTGTTTTTACACAAACTAGCATAAACGAACTTAACCTTTTATAGGGAACTGATAATTGTTTTAACATTGTATCAATATAAATAATGTATTTAGTATGTACTCCGAAGAGTTGTGCATGTAAATTAGAAATATTTTACGCTTTTGACATTGATCAAATAAGCAATTTTACATACGCCAATTTATTTATTTATTTACACAAACTAGATAATTCAACATCAATAGTAAGAATAACAAAACTCTAATAATAATAATTATGATTTATTTACTTAAATAATTTGTATATGAATCTAATAAAGGTCGTTATTAAATATGAAGGAATATTTTATTCATTATTAATAATAATTTGTTATAAATAACAATTTGAATAATAATTTATCAGTAAATGTAGTCATGTAAATACATGTGAAGTTGTTTTGTTAGATTAATAATTTAGAAAACGATTTTATTTGATATTTTATGATACAAACAAGCTAACATCAAAAATTGAGATAGTTAATAACATTAATGTATAAATCAATAAGCTTAAGTTAAAACATTTAATTATATAAATAATATAATTCATTATTAAATAGTTTACTATATTTATATAAATCTTTTTTATTAAAAATGATTTTTATTTACTTTACAAAAATGGTGTAATACATTTTAAAAATTTTATCACACATGCATGCAATAAACAATATAAATTAAACAATAAAAGCACTATTTTCGTAAACTAAGTTGGTCTATCTATAATATTGGCCACACCGGCATTGAATACAACCCCTCCGTCCACTATAATGGAGGCGCCGGTAATAAACTGGGCGTCAGTGGAGGCCAGGAATACGACCGCTTTAGCGACGTCCAGGGGCTGACCCAATTGGGCCAATGGGGTCACACCAATAGCCATTTGTTGCTCTGGGCTTACTTTGTCTCGATCCTGAATAACACCAGGGCTATTTAAAATAATATTATTAATGATGCTAATACAGTTTACTATGCATGGTTATTTGTTTACCTAACGTTATTAACCCGAATACCTTTAGGCGCCAATTCTAGAGCCAGTATTTTAGTAGACATCTCCAGTGCGGCTTTGCTTACTGAATAAGCCAGGTCATATTTAATCTTTATTAAATAAATAAAAATTATTAATAATATAAACAACTAAATATTAATTGAGCATAATAAAATATTACCGGTGCGTACGCGTTTACGGCAGATATATCAATGATAGAGCCGTTAGTTTTATCAAGGTGAGGCACTGCTAGATGTGTCAGTTCAATAATTGCGCGCATGTTTATGGCCTCCGTCTGGTCCCAGATCTGCAGTATATCGGGTTGAGTGATGTTCGCCGGCTTACGTATGCCGGCGTTGTTGACCAACACATCCAGTTTACCATATGTTTTAATAGTGGCCTCAATTAAATTGTTAACGTCAGCTGATTTGGTCAGATCGCCCACCACTTCCAGGGGCTGTGAATAAGTAACAAAATAAATTTAATTATACACACCACAATTCTTTTATTAAACAACTCATAAAGCAATTTTAAATATAATTTTACTTTTAACTTTTTTGGTGATAATTCTAGACATTCTTTGGCTACTTTTGATATGTCGGCCGCTTTCCTACCGGTGACGACAACACTGGCGCCCAATAGTGAGAACAGCTTAACAATTCCCTCTCCGATGCCGGACGAGGAACCGCTCACGAGAACCACTTTTCCCGTAAAGTTCCGCGAATTCCCGACCGCTTTGTAGTCATCGATACTGTAGTCGCCGGCGGCTATCGATACCAATATTACCGCTAATATTATTGATAATAATTTCATTTTTGTTAAATATTAATGTTTTCAATAAATATTTAATATAAATAATTATAAATTCAATATGAATTCTTGACTAGTATTTACAGCTATTTATATGCTTAATATTTACTGCATTTAATCTCAAAATCAACAATGTACTTTTTACACTATTTGTCACACTTGACATTAAAACAGAATTATCTAAATACTCTATGTATTATCATTTAAAAATATTATTATAAATATTAACAATATAAGTTTCTGTAAACTAACTTATTTCTGTTCTATTCCGCAATAATAAATATACAATACTTTACGTATTGCAAGTGGTAGCAAGTTTACTACTACTGTTTAGATATTTTATCAATATTATATTTATTATTACAAAGTAAGTTTAATTCAATTTAGGTTAGTGCTTAAATTCTGTCATTTAGTGCTGAATGAGTGTATGTTATCTAAATACTTTTAACTTCATATAATATAGTGCAAATTATAATTATTGACATTAATTTATTGTTTAATAACAAAATTACATTTAATATATTTTACTAATGTAAAAACAATATTATATTAATCCATTCTAAATATATATTTGTCTTCATATAGATTAAAGTGAATTTTAAAATATTTATTTTATTTATTAATTTAAATTAAATATACATTTCAATACATTAAACATTTTTTGTAATATTGTTTTATTCTGATTACAGCAAACATAATTAGTTTTAATATTTTATTATGTTAAACAAATTAAAATAAATTAACCATCAAAAATTACAAAATTTTGTGTCATCATAAATATAATAAATTAATAATTTTATAATTTATGTCAATTATTATGATTGTAAATGTATTAAATGTTTGCGGCGTGTATTTTTTGTTACGGTAATCGATCGGGGCACATTGTGATTATAAACATTAATAACCTTATTTTGATTATGATTAATTATTTTCGCAACAAATCTATTACGCTTAAACAAATCACCAAGCCGATATTTCGAGGCCAATTCTACCACGATATTAGTGAACAGAAGCATCGATAGGCCAAACCATAGGCT